AAAATATTCTATTAATCTAACTTAATAATAGTATCTCAGACTCGCAGTTCAATTATAACTTAATAACTTAATAACTTAATAACACTTACAATTCAATTATAAGGGTACTACAAGAGCGAACGTGTAACATATTCCTCAATTTTGCTAGTAACAACTTAGAAATATATTATCAATTAATCGAAGCTAGCAAATGACTATTTTTTTGTTGAATAAAAACCAGGGAGTGACTTAAATATGTGGGAGTGAAGAAATAATGAAGATTTTTAATTTTTTTTATTTTTCTATATTCTTTTTTAACAATTTGATTAGATGTATTTTTTTTAAAGTAATTTTTGATAGATATATTTAGATAATTAAGCCATTGAAAATTTTTAAATTTCTTTAAATTTATATAATATCTATCATCAATATCTATATAATATATCAAAGCAGAGAAATATGTCTTAAATAATAGCCAATTGTAAGTCTCTCAAATTGCAAAGTGTAAGGAGATCAGTTGTTTAGAATAATTATAAAAAGATAAGTTGTAATGGCAATAATTGTAAGAAGATAAATTGTTTTATATTTTCAGATAATGTCATATAGGAGGAATAAAAAAGGAATAAGCAATAAGCAAAAACTATTTTATTTGGAAATAAGAAAGGAATATGAGGGAAAAGAATTCCGATAATTTTCTCTTGAAATTATAAGGAAAATAAAAAAACTAAAAACATAAATTTGAAGAGCAAAATTAATTTTATTTTCTTTTATATCCAAAAAAATAAGTAACATAAGTTTTTTCCAAAAAAAAAATTTAGTTCCTTCTTATTTTTAATTTTAGTTCCTTCTTATTTTTTCGTTTAAATTTTTCTTAAATTTAGTTTCAAAAAATGTCAGTTTAACAAATTGGCCAGGCCCAATTATTTTTTTTTTTTTGTTTCCTATTCAAGAATTGATTAATCCAATAAACTCTCTCTCTCGTTTAGAGTTATGCTTTAAAGAAAATTGATCATTGGAAGAATTGGCTTCTAATCCCAATTCTTTACTATCTGCGATTTTTTCTTCTATTAATTTTATTTTTCTTTTATATCCAAAAAAAAAAAAATTTTTTCCGAAAAAAAATTTAGTTCATTCTTATTTTTTCGATCGTTCATTAACAAGAAAAAAGACACAAAAATAAATTTAAGAAAATACATCATTTTTTCTTAGTAATAAAAAAACCTTGATTGATTAATTTGGTGTATGGAGTAATCTCATATACCAGGAGCTAAGTTTCAACGACATGGCAAGAGATACAAGAACTTACGCGATACCATAATTTTTAACAAAAATAGGACATTCACATTCTCAGGACACAGAAGTATAATACGTTAATATTTCAAATAAATAAATAATCATTTATAATAAATCATAAACATAAAATAAAAAATATTTAATTTCTTATTTCAATATAATTAACCATAAAATAAAAATATTTTAATTTCTTATTTCAAACTATAATTTTAGTTAAATTTCTTCTAAATAATCATTTATAATAAATCATAAACATAAAATAAAAAATATTTAATTTCTTATTTCAATATAATTAGTTAAATTCTCAAAATTGTTACCACTATTGAAAAAAATACATTAATAGTATGTGTCCATTTTTTAATGTAGGTCATACTAGGGGTGTCAAAATGGATCATAACATGCGAACACAATTCGTCTAATACGCGAAATAAATCAGTTAGAATTGAGGTTAAACAGGTTCGTGTCATAATCGAGTCACCCATTTATAACATGAATATAAATGTGTTGTATCGCGGGTTGACACGCAGGTTAGGTGAGTGGCCCATTTATTTAAGAGTAAAGAGGTAATTTTAGTGTTAGATGTAAATACTCCAACTAACATTTATTTAAATTTTATTGTTATACTACTTTTTTATTTTAGTTATGAATCTTGAAAAATTTATGCATTTTATATATGAATATTTATTTTTAAATATGATTAGAGTTAAATATGTTAAAATTTAAAAATATTATAAGCAGGTTAAGTGGGTTGTATGCAGGTTAAGTGGGTCGTATACATGTCCACAACCACTTAACTTGTTTATGATATTAAGCGGGTCACGAGTTGTATATGGGTCACATGACACACATGACCTATTATGATATTAGGTGGGTTAAACGTGTCATGTTCGTGTCACCTGTCTAATTTTCATGTCATATTCATGTTGAGAAATTTACCACAATTATTAAATTGATCGTCTTCGTGTTGACTCTAATCATGTTGCATGTTAGGCGAATCCGTACTGAACATGACATGCCAACCATTTTGACACCCCTAAGTCATACCATACATATTTTTTGCTATTGCATACTTTGGTAAAAGATTTCTCAGAATACTTAAGAAGACATATCTTAGTATTGCAACGTTCTTTTAGTATATCTCAAGGAGATACAATTTTGTAATGCATTTCACGAACATTTTATTAAATAACTTTGTTATTTTTGAATAATGTTATAAAAGATTATTTCATCATTTAATATTATTTCGCGCATTGAGTTCTAACACTAGTTGTTTATATAATCAATTCCCATACATATTTAAATCTATAATATATATAAATTTGAAAAAAAAAGGAGAAATAATGAGTTTTTCAAAATTATCCTTAGTGATAATAAATATATTCAAAATTATCCTCAGTGGTATTAGAGATATGCAGGACTAATAACTTTCATTTTTTATTTTCTTGTTGTTTTCCTATAATATGATTAATATATATTTTTAAGTAGACATATAAATTTATCGGCCTTGAACCGGCAGTTTCGGTCCGGTTCAAACCGAAAAATTTTTTATTTTTATTTTCAAAATTACAATAATTTATCTTATTTTATACATTTCTAAAAGTCTCAATAATATTTTACTACATGATATATTTTACTTAAGATTTTTTTAAAAATACACTTTACTTTAAAAGTTAAAAATCTAAAAAGTAAAATGGTAAAAAAGGAGAGAAATATTTAGCCTAAATTTATATTGTTTTTAACTTCTTTTTTTTTTACCCTTTTAAATTGTTTACAAGTCAAACATCCTACCAAAAGTACAAATGGTCAAACAAAGGAAGATCAATATTTAGCCGCTAAATCATATTTGTTTTTAACTTCTTTTTTTCTTACCTCCTTTTTAAATGTTTCTAAGTTTTAAAATTTACATTCTTTGAAGCATTTTTCAAAATTATCTTATAATTCTATTTAATAATAACATTTAAACAAAATAAAGTGATACATTTTATTTGCATTATTTTGTAAAATTAATTTAATTTTATTCTTATATATTGAGTTTTTATTCTTATATGAGTATGAGTATTCTAAAATTTATTTAAAATAAAATTTACCAATATTTCTTAAACTCACATTAATATTTTTCGAAAAAAAATGTAACATTAAAATCATTTAAAAAAAAAAACATATATCACCGGAAACCATGATCAGAACAGTTGGTTCATGAGAAGCACACCGGAATCGGCCGAAACCGGAACCGGACTGAAACCGGTGGTTCAAGGGTTGATTTAAGTTCAACATTTTAAAAATTTTGAACCGTCGATTCCGTGAACTGGAACCGGCGGTTCAATAAACCGGCCATGCCTAGTATTTGGTAAAGAAGATAAAAACAATCTAAATTTCTGTCTCATTTCCAAACAATAAATTACCTTTGGAAAATATATTTCTCAAGGAAAATGTGTTTCTTAAATATTTTTCAAATGACTTATTTTCTATTATTTGGTTACAATATTGAAAATTAAGTAAAAAAAAATATTAAAATCTTTAATTCATAAGACAATAAAAATATTAATAATAATAAAAATTTCATTTTTAAAAATTTTATTATGCAAATATTAGAAAAATGCAAAAAAAAAAAAAAAGAGAAATTATGGAACAAAAAAAAAAAAAAAAGAGAAATTGTTAAAAAAAAAAAAAAAAGAGAAATTATGGAAGTCACCGATGACCTATGGTGGTGGCCGACGGTGGCCAGTGGCTGATGGTGGTGGCTAGTGGTGAAACAGTGACCGGAAGTAATGACTATGGATGGTTAATAGATTAAAAAAATATGAATTTATATAGATATAATAAGTTTGTTAATGTCTGGAAAATATTTTTCTCTCTTTAAAATGAAAAGACATTTTTCCTTAAATGTGACTTAATTTCCTTTGACTAGAAAAATATTTTCGGTTGACTTATTTTTCTGAATTCCCCAAAACAATGAAAAATTGGAGAAAATATTTTTCATATAAATTCTCTTAAAGAAACAAATGGAGAAAATTGTAGAAAATATTTTTCTACAAATTATTTTACGGAAATAAATGGAGCCTTAGTAATGATATTTTCAATAAAAAATCCGTTGATATGAATTTCAACAAAAAGTTTTCATTTTTCTACAATTTTTTTATGGAAATAAACAGAGCCTTAATAATGATATTTTGAATAAAAAATCCAGGTGATATGAATTTCAACAAAAAAAAAAATCATTTTTCTACAATTTTTGTTACGGAAATAAACAGAGCCTTAGTAATGATATTTTGAATAAAAAATCCAGGTGATATGAATTTCAACAAAAAAAAAAATCATTTTTCTACAATTTTTGTTACGGAAATAAACAGAGCCTTAGTAATGATATTTTGAATAAAAAATCCAGGTGTTTAAATCCATGGTGATAAAATTAAGAGAATTGATAAAAATTGAAAAAAGAAATCAAAATTCAGGTTATTTATTTATGTATTAATTTTTTTGTTGTCATTAAACCTAAAAATTACTGACTTAGACCGGGTCCATAGCTATACTTATGGACCAAACCAATGACAGTAAAGATTTTTTAAAAAGTATATCGACTTTATCTCTTTTTTTTTTTGTTAGTGTATAGTCAGAAATACTCTCTTTACAATAAAAAACTTTATTCTCGTTGGTTTGGTCTATGAGCGGAGCAATCACCTTGTCAAGGTAAAATTTTCCGGAACCACTCACCATTAGCTCTTTCTCCATGCAAATATTCTCCATAACCAAACAGTTTTCTCATTATGGAACAGCAAATCCTCTCAGTTTCAATTCTTTTCAGTTTCGTTCTTTTCCTTCACGTCTTATTAAAAATATCGAAGAAATTATACAAACATGATTCTAACCCTCCGCCAGGACCATGGAAATTACCTTTCTTAAGGTAATATCCTCCAGCTCACCGGCGACGACCCTCATCACCGGTTTGCAGAGTTGGCTAGAACTTACGGACCACCGGTAATGGGTATTCAACTCGGTGAAATTCCCTTTCTTGTTGTTTCCTCGCTGGAAGCAGCCAAAGAAGTACTGAAAATCCAAGATCCCATTTTTGCAGAACGAGCGCTTATCCTTGCAAATGATGTGGTGAATTATAACCGTAACGGGATGGGTTTTGCGTCATACGGATATCAATGGAGGCAATTGAGAAAATTTTGCACGTTGGCATTACTGTTTCAATCAGTAAGAGAAGAAGAAATGGCTGATTTTGTAAACTTTCTGCGTTCCAAAGAAGGAAGTTCTGTTAATCTTACTCATACTATATTTGCTTTTACAAATTCTATAATTGCAAGAAATGCTGTTGGTCATAAAACCAAAAATCAAGAAACGTTGTTAACATGTATTGATGGTATTATTTATACTGGAGGAGTAAATATAGCTGACGTGTTTCCTTCCTTAAAATGGCTTCCTTCAGTCAAGAGGGAAAAATCTAGAGTTATGAAATTGCATTATGAAACAGATAAGATCCTGGAAGATATCTTACAAGATCTTACAAGAGCATAAAGCAAATAAGCAGGCGTGGGTTTCGGAGGATGGCGATGGGAGGAAAGCAGACAATTTTGTTGATGTTCTTCTGGACCTTCAACAAAGTGGAAATCTTGATTTTCCCTTGACTGACGTCACCATTAAAGCGTCAACCATTGTAATTATATACTCATCTTCTTTTAAGAGTTTTATTAGGGTCTTATTGTGATTTCAAGTTTCAACCTATAATTTCTTACTTTCCATTGCAGTATGTTTTTGTGGGTGGAAGTGACACATCCTCAAAAACTACGGAATGGGCAATGGCAGAGTTGATGAGAAAACCGGAAATAATGAAAAAAGCACAAGAAGAATTGCGCAGTGTCTTTGGTGAAAAAGGATACATTGAGGAGGCAAACTTCAAGAATTAAAATGGTTGAAGTTAATTATTAAAGAAACATTGAGATTACATCCTGTACTTTCACTACTTCCAAGGGTTTGTAAGCAAAAGACTAAAGTTAGTGGATATGATGTTTATCCTGATACTCGAGTTTCTGGTTTAATGTAGGGCACTCGGAAGAGATCTAAAAATTGGAGTGAACCTGAGAAATTCAACTCCCGAGAGATTATTGATAGTTCAAGATCGATTATCTGGGAAAATCATTTATGAAATCTTCCATCTTGTGGAAGGCAAAGAATATGCCCGGAATTACATTAGTTGATTCATATGCAGAATTTTCCCTTGCAACTTGCCTTTATTTGACTGAAATTTCCTAAAGATAACTGTAAAAAGCAAGAACCTTGACATGAACTGATGCTCTTGGAGGAAGTTATAGAAGAAACGTCAGACCTGAAACGATCCATCCAAGTCACCCTTATCTACTCTTCCCCGACAAGGTTGAATACCGTACTAATGTCGCTGCAAAAAAAAAAAAAAAAAAAAAAAAGAGAGATAAAGGGTGAGTTTTCCATCTTGGTTTTAGTTTTTACTCTGGAATGTACCAAAAATAAACTGTTGTGGGTGTAATAAATTGCATTGTGTCAATGAAATAATGATATAACAGAAATGAATTTTTCCATCTTTCTATTTCTTATTTTTTTCAGTGATGTATATCCCTCGATTGAAATAATTGAATTACACAAAATTTGGTGGAACTCATTTAAAAATCTATATTTTTGTGTTTCGAATAGAAAAAGAAAGTATTGATATCAATTCTAGGAATTCAATTCCATGGAATTAGACATTACTACACCAAATTCCACAAACTACCATTCTCTATCTACAAAGTCAAATTTTCAATTTTTTTACTTATTAAATTATTTATTTCATCAAACTTGACCAAAACCATTTAAAAAATTTATTCTTTTTTTTTAGATTTTTTATTGTTGTGTTTTATTTTAATATTTTTCATCTTTTATTTTAGGAAAAATTACAGTATGATTCCTGTGGTTTGTAAAATACAACTAATTTATCCCTATCTTTTTTAAAATATATTAATTTGTCCCTATATTTTGCTTCTGTTATGCTATTAGGTCATTTTGTCCAACTTTCGCATTTTTCGTTAAGTCAACAAGAAAACACAAAGGTCAAAGAAGAAATACTAAAATAAAAAATTAGAGTATAGTAACTATGATTTCAAAAATATAGTTAGTTTGGTCTTGTATTTTTAAATACAAAAAAAGTATTTTCGTCGTTTCATAAGATGGTTAATGGAAAAGATATAAAAATTGGACGAAATGACTTTATAATTTAACGGAAGTAAACTATAAGGATATTTTAATCTATTTTTTAAAAAATAGAGATGGACTAATTGTATTTCGCAAATCACAAGAATCATACTTTAATTGTCCTCTTTATTTTAATAAACTTGATTTTTACCATGCGCATAGTTGCTTGCTCAGGCCTGTTCAAATGCAAATAGAGATGAGATATTCTACTAAATGTTGAAATTTATTTGAAAAATTGTCAGTTTGACCTTTAAATTTAAATTAATATGATTTATGTTATTCAATTACTATTGTGCCCTTTATTTATTTTTTTTAGTTAAGGCGCTATAAAACAGAATATATCAATGTTTCCTCTTTTTTTAAGTGTTTCCTTTTTTTTCCATTTCCTCTCTTTTTGTGTTGTCGTTAATAAAATGAAACTTATTCAGTCGCTATTATATTTTCTTATTATTTCTGCGTTTTTTGGTTCACAAGGTTTGTTGATTTTCATTTGATTATAAATTTCAGCTGCCGTTTTTTGTTTTCAATAATTATTTTTGCTTTTTATTTTGTCGTTTCTCTTCTGTGATTTTATTTTTGTATAAGCATTTGAGCAACTTAATACTCGAGGAAAATTGTAACCGCCATAGATGTTGTTTATACTTTACCGTTGCTGTCACCGTTAGACCATTGGCGTTTCTCTCATATGCCCTTTTATTTTCTGTTAAGGCACTACAAAACAGAATATTTTCCTGTTTTCTTTTCTTCAGTGTTTCCTTTTTGGCGTTTCGTTCTTGTAAGGTTACTTTTCATAAATTATTATTATCTTAATTTGTATTCTTTTTTGACATTTTGTTAAAATTGAAATCTCATGTATGACATTTGTCATACAAGGTCTAGAAATTGGTTAAGTATTCAAAATGTAGTTTTTCACATAAATAAAAAAGAAATTGGCTATGGCAAAGACAAATATAAGAATGATATATAAGACTTATAAATAAAATTCTACAATTTTTAAAATATCTAACCTATTAATTAATCCAATAATTTTGTATTAAATTAACTAAAGTTGTTGAGATTTATACTCATTTAGAATTTACCAAAATCCCAATTATCTTTGAGATGGATTATAGAGTTGTCTTGAGCTGGATTTCTCAACATGAACATCGCCCTTGGAGATGTTGGATTTTCTTCTTGGTTCCTTGCCTTCCTTCCAATTCAAACATGTTAATAGAGAAAGAAATAGTTTTGCAAATAACCTAGCTAAAGAAGGAGTAATTTATGCAGAACCTTTTTTGGCATGGTTATAATTATGTTTGAGTTAGGTAGCTTTAATCAGAGGATAAGAGCAAAGGTTATTTAGTTTGGATATATGAGGATTGGGTCATAATTAATTTTTAACTTCATGGGTACTTTGATTTGATTCAGTTTTGGTTTTAAATTCATTTTTTCTTATCTCAAGAGAAATTTATATTCTTTTTTTTTTTTTTTTTTTTTTTTTTTGCCGATTCTCCCAAGCCTTCTTTCACTAATGTTTCATAAGCTTGATGTATGGGCCTATGGTGAGGTACAGTTTCGTTGATTTTGGCTAAATTTTTCCTTGGATATGTGTTAATTTAATAATAAACTTTATCGCTGAAAATAAAAAAACTAGCCAACCACTTAAACAAAATAACTTAACTACCCTTTTCTCCATTTCCTTTCCTTGTTTGTTTGGGCTTGGTTTAAAACCAATATAAGTGTAAGTGATTATATGCAACTCCTCATATGTATACAACTTATTTAAAGTTATATAATTTCTAAATCAAAATAGAGAAAAAAGAGTTATACTAATATGCAATTTCTCCCTATAGAGTTATTATTCTACCACATCCAAAATAAAAATACTGCAAAAATATAGCGTAGTCCAGCAAATTTTAACAGCATACAACCCATTTTAATCTAAAAATGTTAGGCCAAAATAGTTAGTCATTGTGACAAGCAAACTTATATAATTAAAGAGTAAATTCGTTAAAAGAACAGATCTTAAGATGTGAATGAAAGGGAGAAATCTTTTTGTTGTTGTATAAAAATCCTGCCTATGGTCACAAAAATATGTTATCGTAACCTAATGCAAATTTTTGTATTAAATTAAAAAATTTTTAATTTAAATATAAATTGAAAATTTAATTAATATTGTACCGGAATACTCAGAATTACTCTTTATACATTAATAGAAAAATATGGTTTTCGTAAGAAAAAAAAAATTCATTATCAAATATTTTAATTTCCTTGACATCCTCTTAAAAATTGAACCCATCAATAAAAAATTTATGTACTATCATAAAATGAATTTAAACAATGAATATTACTCTTAACTAATATTTATTATAATCGTTTACCATATGCAAAAAATCATAACAATTGGGTTAATAAATTAAACACCCCCGAATTTTATTTTGAAAAACCTTTTGAATGTATAAATAAAAATCAGAAATTCTACTTGTGGGCTCAATAGAATAACAGTCTCGATTCGAGCCCAAATTTGCCCCGGGCCGTCAAGCCACACAATAGTATTATCGAATCCCGATTTGAGAACTTAAGAACAATTTTTTTTAGGAAATACTATATTTATATATGTGGAATTATTTAATATGAATTCAATTATCCAACAAATCAAATTGATTTGTCCGAAAAAACCAGCTTGAAAGTATTCGAAAACTCAAAGTGAAAACCTCGCTGCACAACCGGAGCTGAATCGAGCCAAATCATTAAACAGTTAGACCAAACCGGCTTCGAATCGAACGGAATGATCTAGAAACCGACATTCTTTCTTCTTTCTCTTCCCTCTCCGATCTCGCGCGACAACCCCGTCCTTCCTCTCCCTCTCCTTTCCGTTTCCGGCCACCCGGTCCCAGCAAGAAGAGGTGGCGAATCGGTTTCTTTGGCGAAGCCTGGACACGTCCCCGAGCCTCCCTCGCTCCGATCGGACCTCCAGCGGCGCGAATCGAGGCCATCTCTCCGACAGTCGCCTTCTTCGGCTTCGTCCGGCGCACTCCGCCAATTCTCCGACGGCTAAAGGTAACCGAAGGTCTCGATCCGACTCCTCTCCCTCCTATGAACATTTCCCGCCTTCATCAGATTGTGTACTTTTTTTTGCCGTTTTGATGAACCACCATGGAACGCGGTTTGACAGGTGACTGTGGAGGTGGATCCGCCAAATGACCACTGGTCAACAGAAACTAATAGTGAGTTCGGACTCCCTCACAAAAAATTGGAACAGTCGAGGGGGTAAGCCTTGCCAACTTTCTAAGGGCTATGTCGCGCACTTTCCCGGCCACCCGTGCATGTGGCGGTTGGCGGCGGGCGGGTCCGGTGACCGTCCGGTGAAGACTTCCCGGCGAGTGCACCGAGAATAGAGGAATTCGTCGCCGTCTTCATGCTGATCACCGGAATCGTCGCCGAGCCGATTCCAATTGTACGTCTCTACTAGACTAAATTCTCAATTTTTGTATAATAAAAGAACTAATTGATTACCGTGAATTATTTGAGATATTATAGATTGAAATAATATAAGAAATTAAGTTATTGGAATAGCTTAACTATATATATATAGACATTTATGATCTTTTTGGTAATAAAATTACGAATCGGTTTAGTGTTGTGTGATTGCGATAAGGAACATGATAGTTACATTAAATTCTAGTTATTAATTTAAATAATTTATTTGATTTAGTTAATGTAACAATAGTAGTTTATTAAATTAAAGTTATTATTTGTAGTATTTTTAGTAATATTAGTTAATGAATTAATTTTATTATTTAATTAATGAGTTAGTTAAGTTAATGTTAGTGATGTTAGTTAATTAAAGCTAAACTTGGTGTTTGTAGTGAATTAAATGTATTTAATTAAGTCGGTAAATGTAATAGTAATCCGCTTTTACATAATTTTATGTTGATTAATTAAGGTAGTTTAGATATCATG